GTACCTACATACGCACAATGTTAATTAATACTTGGAACAACGCAGGCTGCAATTTAACCGTATTAGACTATCTAAAGTTAGTAATTCGTTTTTTGGGAAAAGGGACACTTTTCTTTAATAAAATCCCAGAGGCTCTTTTTTCTCTGCCTTTTAATAAATTTAAGAAGTGTATTAAAGAAAAGCTGTGTAAAAAGGCTTACTATAAAGTCAACGATTATCTAGTTGATAAAAGGGCCTGGGACTAGTGCTAGACAGGCTACTTCTAATTAATTTGCGATATTTGTTTTAAAATAAGTGTTGTTTGCCATAGTCATTTTGTATGATGATTTGCTATTTTAAAAGAGTACCGAGAGTTTTTTACGGCGGCTTTTTCACTCGGCTTACACCCTCCACCCCCTGTATCTTATATTCCATAATAAACATTTTTTTATTTTATTTATTTATTTCAGAAATATATACATCATCCTTACAGACTGCCAATACTATAATGTCGAGAAAAAATAAAATAAAGTATATAATATTAAACACATAATATACACAATATCGCTACTGTGAATTCACTTTGCGATCATAGAAATATGTCAATAGTGTCGGAGAAATACTTATTGATTCCCGGTGAAGTCCAATCCATAACTTCCAGTCATACGGGTTAATTTGGCTAAGTATTGAAAACACTTATTTATATAACAATTAATATAAAAACTGGCAGGGCTACTCTATAAACCGATTAGGAATTCCAAAGATGGGACTCTAGATTCAAAATGCAAACTAGAATAACGTGATATATATTGAAATCGAAAACGCTATTGAAGTTACGGGATAAGCCGGCAGATGCTCCAAGTACCTATATGTTTTTTAGATGAGATTTTAATTTTTTTTCACGTGCCTATGAAATGTAAAACAAAGATTTAGAATTCATGTATTCCACCATGCCATGCACCACAGCTGACAAACTGGCTTAAAAAGAGTATATGAGCAGTGTTGGCCTAGTGGCTTCAGCATGCGACTCTCATCGCTGAGGTCGTAGGTTCGATCCGGCTGTGCACCAATGGACTTTCTTTCTATGTGCGCATTTAACATTCGCTCGAACGGTGAAGGAAAACATCGTGAGGAAACCGACATGTCTTAGACCCATTTAGTCGACTGCGTGTGTCAGGCACAGGAGGCTGATCACCTACTTGCCTATTAGATTGACAAATGATCATGAAACACATATAAGTATAAATCTGAGGCCGTGAACTAAATAGGTTGTAGTGCCACTGAGTTGTTTATTTTTTTTGAAAAGTTCATGACCAAATAATTAGAACGAAGCATTGTAGGAGTAAAGAAGTACAATGCATAACATGTAAGACTGGAATGGCAATGGACGGGACACATGGTAAGAGAAGAAAGGGAAAACGGACATAGAGGATCACAGAGTAAACCCCTATGGCTAGAGAAGCAAGGGTGAGGCGTTGGGAATAACGACATAAGGTTAGCCGGGGAAGGATGGTATGCGTGCGTGATGCGACATTCGCTCTATCTCACTCTTTCTCACTTGCTTGCTCCCTACTCACGCTCCATGGCTATTTGCTTCATGTTACGTTCGCCCTTTCTCACTCTCTTTCAATCGCTCTCTCCCTTTTCTTCCACAAAAACGCTGCACATCTTCGTGACGCTAACATTATTATTATTGCGTTTCATCCGTAAAAATTTTACCCTCATGAGCCTAAAGAAGTTTCACTTAAAAAAATCCCCAAAATAAAGATGGATGCTCAGATAAATTTGTTTACCTAATCTTTTAGACTTACACAAGTAAAACCGGCCCTTTCCATATGTCTTCATTTATTTTTCCTGTTATGCAATGTTATTATTATTCTTCAACTAATTTCGTCCTCCTTTAGGCAGTAAAAAAATTACAATTCAATGTGAACATTTTAATAAAACGCTTATTACAAAGCAAGTGCTTGAACTAACATACAAGGTATAAATTACAGAAGTACAAAAAATATAAGCTTATTGTCATACAGATTACATTTAAAAAAATTAATTAAAAACTTTAGCTATGCTAAATTCTTTAAACTTGGGCCATGATTCCTCGGCCTTAATGGATAGCATTTCGAAATTGAGCATGTGAAAAATTACCTGTGGTACTTACTAGGCTTAAAAGCCCGCCATCTAGTGGAAGTGTGTGATGTACAATGAGCCTTAAAAATGTACATACTTAGGGAGCGTTCAGTTCAAGTATAACGTTTTATTATACTTGGGTACAGAAAAACGTTACGGCGCGTTACATGGGGGGGGTCAATAATCTCCAAAAATTGCGTGACGTAATGCTTGAACGCTCCCTTATAGAATATTAAGGGCTATGTAATATGTTGTCGTTATCAAGTCCCTGTAAACAGGTGATAATATTTCAAAATGACTGGTTGGATTTAGAAATACGCCGCTTGAATTTGATGATACTGATTATGTAGGTGACTCGGGGGACCTTGATTGGAACCAATCCAAGTAATCCAAGTAATTTTGGCTGCCGGAGTTGCGTCTAAGTATAAAAAAAAGAAATATAATTTTGTGCATTGGATTGAAATTTGTTAAACGAATCGTTCATTTTATGTGGTTGGGGGTGATAACTACTCCCCCCTCCAACCCCCAATTCGGGGGACGTATTTCTAAATTGTTACCCGATATATCATATAGAACAGAAATAAAGGACCGCAAGCATTGTACTGTTCTTGTAAAGAATAAATGAGAAACAATTCTTCTGAACAATCATTACTTAAACATACTAAGCATAACTTTTACCACAAGCCAATTTCCCGCCGCTCCCGCCATTTTAAATTGTGAAGTTTACTGCTGTCGATTCAACGTTAGACTGGATCTTGATTTTAAATAAAATTTTCAAAAAAACAATAAACATTGTGAAATTAATTTCCATAGATGGCGCACCATTAAACCCCTATTAAATTTAACACTTCGGACTGTTCTTTTTGTACATATTCCACTAATTGCTAGAGCATATTTTTAAAAGGCTTGAAATGGCAAAATGTGGAAAATACATTTAAGGTAATAGATTTTATGATGTTATGGCCTAACATTATTAGTCAAACTCATTCATTGAGTCATTGGCAAATTCAATCATTAAGATCTACATATGTAATGCGACAGTAAACTTAATGGATTTTTTTTAACTAAATGCAATATAAAATAAAGATATACAATTCAACCATAACAGACCATCACCAACCATCCATTACAAAATGTGGATTAAAGATGGCATTGTTTGTTACCATAGGTACAAAGTTTGACATACTTTATAACCAATTGCATGAGAATGCTTGTCTCATTTATTTAAAGTCATATCTATATTACATTTCTAGTATATGTTTAAGAGAACATTTGTGCTTTGTACAGAAGCTGTAGTTATATTCTCTTTCTTAATCTGTAGATAATTCTTAATAAGTGGATACAGCAAACAATAATTGTACTCCACTTCTGTAAACTTGTACTTATTTTACTACCATTAATAACTTCTCTATACTGACCTTATCATAACACAAGGTAAAGTGAAGAATTTGGAAAAATATTACTAACATTTGAAACAAAATCTCAAACAAATAAATATAAAAATTATTTGTATGTTGTTTGTAAGTTTTATAGCATGGAAATATTTTGATCATTTAACATTTCTCTGATTTATGAATAAAACTTGTTGGATAGTAAATTTATCAAGGAAACTATATAATATCAGGATACCCGCAAATTAGCAGGGGATTAAGCACACAGTATCAGATAATAGTAGATTGTCAAGACTTTCGCCAACCCTTGCTCTCATGAGTCAGCCAATGATTCATCAATTTTAAATAATTATTATTTACTAGGTGTTGTCACTTCAACCTTGTTCGTGTGAAAAGACAAATACAAATATTAATCAATCAAATGTGTCACTAAAGACAAGTGTGTGTTGGACAAGTACTTTCAGAGATTTTTTCCTACAAACTGAAAAACTGTTGTATCTAATATTAGTGTTGATTTTCATAACACAAATTTTACTTTGGTGTAAATAACAATAAAACCATGGTTTTATAACATTACCCTTAAACTAAAATAACCAAATTATTTAATTAAATTCTGCACTTTTTTCACTTTACCTTAGATTATATGGAATTTTAAGTAATTTTTTTTTAATCTCAACCTGTATGTGTATTGAATTAAAAAAAAATATAATGATGCCCAACTCAACCTAAAAAATTGATAATCAAAATTGCTACTAATCTACAACAATTCCACATATAACTTCTAGTTGATATAGCTACCGTTTAATCAAGTTTGCCACTCAGTCTTAACAAACTTTAATCATTTTCAATTCAGCTGTTATACATATTTGTACAATATACCTTTCTAAGGTTTATAATTACTGGATTATCAGTGCTACTTAGTCTCAATATATAATGATTTGTGCTACACTAAACTTATATAAACTAGCAGTCTTATTCATAAACATACTAGATTAAGATCTAGATAGTGTTGTCACATCTACTAACTATTGTCTCAATATAATAAAGTCCTACCCTTTTAAGAAAATTTTAGTCTGGCAAAAATGATTATTAATAGGAAAGTATATCATGTAGGAATCTATGGGATTGTGTAACAATATACTAAATGTATATTCTAGAATTTACAGTCTGCAGTTTTGTAATATTCTTTTTAGAGACTATTTTACTCAAAATGATATGATAATTTACTTATATTTTTAGTATGTTTATGCATAAAACCATAAAGTTTCCTTATAAGGTAGAATATAACAAATTACCTTAATATTAATGGAATGTCAAATTTGATCAATTCACAGTGGTCTAAATAAGATATGTGACAATAATTTGAATCATCATCTCCACCATACATCAGTCTTTTTATATTTTCATAAGATGAACACAAGATTTTGTAGGCATTTTCTCTCAATTCTGTCACATTTTAGTAGTTGCCTCAAGGGAGCGCAGTAATGGCGCACGGGCCATATACTAGAATCTGTCTTTAGAGGCATGTAGGTTTGGGTTTGTGAGGTATTGCAATTCTTGTAACTCCTGGAATTTCTCATGATCCCTTATGTGTGCATAGTTTGCAGATAAACACATTAAATAGTGTACCAAACTCAGAATAACAAGAAGGCATGACACCATAGCAAGAATAAACATAAATTCAGCTTTCTCAACATAGTCCTTGCAAAATAGTTTCATTTTGTGAGCTTCACAGATTTTCATATCTTCTTGTTTAACAGAAGCGGGAAACAGGAAATCAAACTGTGTAAAATCTATGCAAGTTGATAATTCAATGTTTCCTGGTTTAGAACATAGATTCCAAAATATTGTAAATAAGAATGTAGTTATCACAAGGAAACCCAGCAATATGATCCAAGTAAATGTCAATATGTAGGTTATTATCATGAATATTGCGCAAGAGATCCTTCCGCCGACTCTAGCTCGCCAAGCTCGATAAACTCTTTGTCTCGTGGCACCTGTGGTAAGGCATCCTAAACAGAGGAGCATGAATCCTAAAGCGGCCATACAAGCACTCCCAACTATAAATATCATTTGTAGAGCCTCGATCCATATTAGGCGAAAGTGAAAAACTTCATCAAACATTAATATAGACAGCGCTGAACCTCGGTACATCGTTCCACAAAACACCCCCACGCCCAAGCAGCACATTATAGTGGCTATTAAAGTAGCATGGGGTACTCTTGTAAGACAAGCTTGACACGGATCACCCATTTTAGCTATTATCTTTTACTGTATTTGATTTATTTACGTCTCTCACAGTAATATTTATTTTTCAAAGATAAACACTAGTCACTGAATAAAAAAAGTTACTGATTACGGCAAGCAAAAGATTTCGACCACAGAGTACACACAGTGACTACGATTTATACAGATTACAGTCCACTTCACAGCTTCTTCATTATTCGATGACGACAAATTCATAGATAATTTAAATAAATTTACATGGTAAACATTTATTTTTTTATATATAACTGATAGAATGTAGAGTACATTTATTCCGAAGTGTAAACAAACTTTAGCGTAAAAGAAAATCACGATGATATTACTAACCACACACTCTTCAATACGAATTATGAATTTAGAAACTAAGACACTATATTAAACTAATAAAAATCACCATAATCGTACACATAACGACCATGCCAAACTACAGCTACAAAATAGAACGTCAGTTTAACATTTCAATATGCTATAACCCTTTAAAGATTGTAAGGATGTAATCAGAGAGCAGCTATAGAATGGAAAATGATTTGTGACCTGTGAAAGTTTATCGAATATACCTCTTATATTACTGTTTAGATATGTACGTAGATGTTTTTATTACAAATTCGCTTGAAAAATATTATATATTTTGTTGTCACATAGGATCACCTAACAATTTTAACACCTAGCAACTACATAAGACGTTTACAACTCACCATCTAGTACATTCGATTATGATAGCACATCACTACCATACCTTAAAAACAAGCGGCTTAAAAGCAAGCCATCTTTGTTTACTTTTTAAATCAATTCAGAAAAAAGCTATGAAAATCATTTTACTGCCATAATAATATATATATCTCTCTTAATGTCCTAATAATTATCATTATTATATTATCCGATACCACCAAATTTCTCTTTTAATTTGTTGCATGGTTAATTTAATTGTTAAAAAAATATTATTTCATTAGTGAAATATATTTTTTAATTAACTTAGTCTTACAGAATGGAGATAATATAAATGATACACTCTCTTGAATACCATTTGAAAATAACTTGCGCGTGTATTATTACTTTAGTAGCTTTTAGTCTCATTTGTTAGTTGTCTGTGGACTGCGGTATTCAATAAAAACTATGTTGATAGGGTATGTTCCGATATACACTGCGAGTACTGTATAGTGCTCCCACTGTTCAAAAATTCGTTCCGCTATGGACTGCCAGTATACAGCCGCAGCGTCCTAGGGAAATATATGACGTCACAAATCCCCGCTATACTTCTACTGCGAGCACTGGCGTTTTCGAGGTAAGGTACTCGCAGTGCTTTGATCACGTGATCAATCAAAACCACTTGAATGCCTAACGGCTGATATAACTTACAGTTTAATAACAAACATTTAAAATTCTAATTAAAAAATACTTACTTTCTTTGTAGTATTAATTCAATTGACAGTTAATATTAATATAGATTTTTTTAATGCGATAATACTCCAATAATAGTTTTTCTTGTTGAATTGAAAAACTTTGATGCACTCATTTGAAAACTGTGTCGAAAAACGAAGCGAAGTATACTGGACTGCGTTCCGTTTTAAATTGTAACCAGTATAGCTGGCTATAGAGAAACGGTTTCACAGTATACTAAATTGACGGTACTCTGTACAGTGGTCGCAGTGTATATCGGAACATACCCTATATACCTAACACCGATTGATAAGACAATTGTAATTTTTGAATGAGAGACTTCAGCCGATTACAAGGCTCTCTTAAGTTGACGGGGGGAAATAAAAATTGCACTTTTTTTTGGCTCTATCAATTGTTCGTTAACTGTTCTTCATTGTTCTATCAAAAAATTTTTTTGTTCGTTTTTATTTTTTTTAATTATAAAAAAATTGACCCTCAATTTGGCACGAACTATAGATATTTTGATTTTTTTTTTTCTAATAGTTTAGAACTATCCAATAACTGTTCGTTCAAAATAAACAACTGTTCGGCTTTCATTATCCTGTAATTTAATAATAATTAACTTTTTTTTATTAATCTTAATTAAATGTTATTGCGCATTGATTATCGCTCTCGTGAAAATTCATATTAATTAATAGTTTCTCGATTTTAACCATGACGTGGATATATGTATGGAGTATGGAGAGATAATAAACAAAATACTCCACTTTATACATAAGTATTATTTAAAAAATTTATTGTTTTATTTCACTAAAAGTGATTGATTACAGTTGATAAACAAACATTCATCGTTTCTTCTGAGAAAGTTAGTATGAAATGTTGATAATATTGATATAACAATATTGTTTACTTTATTGTTTTACTTAATATACATAATTTACTTTCTTTTTACAAAGTTTATTTATTAGATTTTGATATTAATTTTAAATTAAAATTCTTTTATATTAATTTTGAAGTAAAAATCTAAGTCAACTTATAACGTAAGTAGTACAGAAAAAATTTGTTAAAGTTTTCGTATTCGAAAATGAAATTATATTATCATCTATTTTAAATGAATAATTAAAAATATTGACTGAAAATGAAAAAGAAATTGGTTCTATATATAATATATAATATATTGTATCAATATATAAATATATAGTTTGCATGGGACTAATCCTTTTCTATTTTTCTCAATCAATATATTTAATCAGGAATGTTAAAAGAATGGATAAGTACAAGAAATACGACTTTAGATGTTAAGAAAGAGTTCATTTTGTTTGTATAAAATAACAAAATATAAATGAAAGTAAAAACCGGGTGATGATGATGATTTTGTTGTTGCTGCTGTTATTGTTGTGTTGTCTCTTTGAATCGAATTCAAATAGGCCGCGCATAATTTATGAGAACTATGCGCATTGATACTGCGCATGCGCAATAACATTTAATTAAGATTTATAAAAAAAGTTAATTATTATTAAATTACAGGATAATGATAGCCGAACAGTTGTTTATTTTGAACGAACAGTTATTGAATAGTTCTAAACTATTAGAAAAAAAAATATCTATAGTTCGTGCCAAATTGAGGGTCAATTTTTTTATAATTAAAAAAAAACAAAAAACAAAAACGAACAAAAAAAAAGGGTGCGTGTACTTATGTACGCGCGTAAGAAGTTATACTTCTTTGGCATTATTAAAAATAGTTTGGCTTTATTCCACCTCCAGTTTTTGATGGTTCACAGCGATAAGATGACAACTCTTTTTTTTGTATTCAATTTAGTGCACTTACACTGATTCATCAATTGTTTTTTGTCTCTTGTCCTTATATTTGCTAGAGAAAAATTACATGTTTTGATTAAACAATGTGGTAATTTTTTTAATCAAAAAAATACTCGATAATAATAATACAAACTGATAGTTAACCTCAATTGTAATGAAGCACTTAGGAAGGTTGATGAGCACAGTTTTTTCACAAATATTAATTAGTATTGGTTTAAATATTCAATTTAAATCACTTCTGATTATATATAATTCAAAAAGCATCGCTAAATTTCTTTGAAAAAATAATTAAAACTCCTTTATTTGTTTAAAAGGTAAATGACAAATGTCATTATGGTCATTCAAAATTGTTGGCATACGAACTTCACGCATATTCTATTTCTTTTTACTTGTAGATTGTCTTATTCCTATCTCGCTCGCGCACGCTATAATCACACTCCTAATTTTGTGTCACGGGTGCGCGCGCATTGTAAAATTTCACTCTCATAAATTTTTCATAACGCGCCTAAAGAAGTATAACTTCAAAAATTTTTGATAGAACAATGAAGAACAGTTAACGAACAGTTGATAGAGCCAAATAAAAGTGCAAAAAATTAATTTCCCCCCGCCAACTCAAGAGAGCCCGATTACAATGAGTTATCGATGCATCGTCGCTGATGTTGAAGTCATAACGTCATTAATCACCTATAGATATTTAATTTGTGCACAGAACAGTGAAATATACGTCATATGTCATAAAGTCAAATGTCAATTGCCACATTATTAATAAATATGTAATATGTATTATGTGGCACTGAAATGTGTTGTCGGACACTGGACTTTAAATAATAAATGAAAAAAAATATTAAATATTATAGTGGTGAAAATAGCGACAAATATTTTTAATAATTACGGTATTTCATTACACATACCACGATCGATCTTTTTTATGTTTTAGATTCTCAAATTTAATTGTAATTTGATTTTTCAGCTGGAGCAAAGTGGACACTTGTTTTAAACTTTTATTCGTAAGAGAAATAATAGAAAGATTGGAAACTTTTTATTTGAAATGCCATGGATGTACTTTATCATCAAACCAGTCAATTAATACAGGAAGCATTCGATTTATTTCATAAACTTGATTCCATTCCAGACTCTGATAAAGTAGAAAATGATATACAATTTAAGATTAATGCTATTAATGGGTATGTTTTCGTAAAAAAAATTAATAGGTAGATCAGGCCTCTGCTTTTAATGCCAAAACATATTAATTGTCTACTCAGTAAATAATCCCAAATCTACCTGTGCTAAAAGCAAGCCAGTTAGCTTTAATAAAATGAAAGAATAATTTAAAATGTATTTTTACAGAAATTGTGAAAAGCTTGATATTTTGGTGTTCAAAACACCAATTAATCAGAGACCTATGGCTAAGATGAGAGTAGATCAGTTGAAATATGACAATAAACATTTACAGGTATTTTATTAATTCATTGTTTTTTTTAAAGTATAATCCTGTAAGATACTTGTTGCTTAACATATTGCGTTGATTATTATTTCTATTCTTAGGTTTTATATTGTGGTCTTTTTTCTAGGACACAAGATATTTTATAAATGTCTGTAATATTATTACACCTTGCTAATTTGTCTTTGACATTGCTTACATTGTAAGTAGCATGATCTTGAATTGTCTACTTTATATTATATTTAGCGAAGGATTATTTAGTGGTATTTATAATTTTATAGTGACATATATATATTATGTTAAATAGAACACACAGGAGCAGTAATGCTCTTAACATCAATATGCAATCAACATATTTCTGTTGTAATTTATAAAAGATTTTACTATCATGACTTTAACATCCTCTTGCTTCATCAATTTTTTGCTTTAATACTTATTTTGAAATTGTTAATACTGTGTTACACACATTTTTAAAATGATTTTATCCACTCTGCCCCTAGAACATACTGAGCTGCTGCTAAATGCTGAGCGTTGTTTTATGAAAAATGTATCATCCCTACAAAATACTTTTTGTTTATACGTGTCAACATCACCTACCATATTATTTCCAGAGTTATTGACCAAGTTACAAATATTTAATTTATTTAAAGCCTTTCATTTATATTAATATTACAGGCCTCATTAATCAATGCACAGAATAAAAGGAGAAGACGAGAACAAGAAAAGTCTGAAAGGGAACAATTGTTGAGTCGACGTTTTGGTAATGACCATATGGCAATAACAGTGGATTATATGGCTCAGGAAAATACCTCATTGCAGAATTCTCATAGGAATGTTGATGAAATGTTGCATACAGGTTTGTTTTGGAATATACTATTAGAAAGCTTTTTAGTGAAAGGGTAAGATTCTGAAACGAGACAGCATGATCAATGACTTCAATATGTCAAAATCCGAAACATTTTACACATACGGAACTTGCACTTAGAGCTAAGTGTCGTTTTTTAATCTTACCAAAACTTTTTATTTTGTTAGTCACAATTGGGTTTGCTGATTTAATAGTGGCCTGCACCTTTGTAAGGCTGGACAATTATTTTTTACATACTTGTGGAACCAGATAGGGTTGTATCTTAGAGATGAAATGACATTCTCATGCTGAGAGAGTTTTTAAGTCAATTCCTTACAAATCTTTCCTTTTAATAATATCAGCATATGTGGGCACTTAGAGAAACACAACCGTGTATATTTTTTTTTAATATTATACATTGAACATTACTTCGACAATATTTATTTCAATTTTACAATTACATATGCATTGTACCAACTATCTTATTGCTGTTAAATGCATATATGTATTTTACTTTGACAAACCACACCAGCCATACTTATAGCAATGTGCTAATGTTTCGTTACCTAATAGTGAAAGATATTCTACTAATGAAAATATTGAGAGAAATACTACAAACCTTTTAGTGTTTTCAATAATTGATAATAGATGACGCTGATATGTATTGCTAATGCTGAGTATAGATGGCGCAATTTGCAAAACCAATTAATAGTCACAAAACAACAGATAAGTTTAACGAACCACAGGGTATGGGCACAAAAATTTCGAAGATTTTTTTATCTTACAACAAGTTTGGTAAACTATTTAGTTTATATGTACATTGTTATTAGAAAACCAATGTATAATACCTAAATACAGATGGATCTTGCATTTGTTTCTCACACACACATATATAATTTTTGTGTCTAAGATATGGCGCATAACGTTTGACTCAGAGAAACTGAGATGTTGGTTTAAGTATTAATTATCAACTGTTGTCAAAACCTATTATAAGCTGTGGCATAAACGTATTCAACACTCGGCCGTGTCAATGACACAGCCACACCCAATTTTTTTTTAAATATAGTAGAAATGAAACATATCTCTTAGGGAGCGTTCAATTGGTAAAATGTTACGATCCGAGGCGGGGATTTTTCTGGGTACAGAAAAATGTAACGGCGCGTTACATGGGGGGGTTTAAATAATCTCTAAAAATTGCGTGACTAATACTCGTAATACTTGAACGCTCCCTTACATATGTGATTGTATATCCCTCTATCTTACTAACATAGTACAATGAGGTAAAATTTGTTTACAGAGTGTGAAACCAGGTACTTTTTAACTAATGAATAATTTTAATTTTTGTTAAACATTGGGAGGCATTCCTAAAAAAAAAAGATAAAAAAATGTTACGCCTGATATAGGTACCGATACTATTTAAAAAAATAAATGTTTTATCATATGCAAATGAAGTCAGGGTCGGATCTAGTAGAGAGACACAGTCAATCTTAGAATTTGTATAAATAAGTATATGTTTGAGAACTTGTCACAAATTTAAATCATTTTTATAAAATAATTTCTATGTAAAATTCTACCTTTTAATCATATAAAACAAATTTGCACGCCATTATGTGTGGCAGAATATGCCAAGTTTAGATTATACCACCATATTATTTTTGTACCATTTTCTTGCAAATAAATTATTTAAGTTATACTTCTTTTGGCGCGTTAAGGAAAAATTACGAGAGTAAATTTAAATATTTAAATTTTATTAATTTAAAATAACGATGCGTACAAAAAATCGACACCCTGAAGTTAGCTATACGTAGTTGGTCCCAAAGTTCTGTCACTAGCACATTATTTCTACATTTCGAGCAGGATTTTATAAAAAAATTATTGCATTATATTTTGGAATGTTTGATTATTGTTTTAAAACAAAAAACAATAACTTTCCGTAATTTTTCACGATGGAGTGGACATTGAAAGTAAACCGAATAGTTGTTATTGCGTTGCACCGCTGTGGACACTCGCCGAGTAACATTTTCAAGTTGCTCAAAAATTTGAATATAACGCTTAGGTTTGTGTACGGTACTATTGATAGGTACCTTGAAGTCTCCAGTGTTGAGGACAAGAAAAGAACTGGCTGGCCACGCTCCGCAAGAACACCAGCAGTAATCAAAGCTATCAAGGCGCGGATAGTAAGAAATCCTGTCCGAAAACAGAAGTTGATGGATTTGCAGATGGATGTCAGTAGGAAAACAGTAAAAAAGGTTTTAAATGAAGATCTTGGTCTACGAGCATACAAAAAAGAGTGGGCACTTACTTAATGCTCGTCTAAAAGCAATAAGGCTTAAGAGATCGCGGGTGTTGTTTAAGCGGTACGCGAAAAACCGACACCGTGATATCCTCTTTACGGACGAAAATTTTTTCGATATTGAAGAGAAGTACAATAAACAGAATTATACAGTGTACGCTAGGAGTTCTGAAGAAGTTGAAAATAAAGTTCCAAGGGTGCAACATGGACATCATCCATCATCAGTAATGGTTTGGTTGGGAGTGTCCTATTACGGGCTAACTGAGGTTAATTTTTTCGAAAAGGGGGTCAAAACCAGTGCTACAGTGTACCAAGAGACGGTTGTGTATCGCCTTGTCAGAGACATGTCCAGCACCCTATTTGCGGGACATCACTTCGTGTTCCAGCAGGACTCTGCGTCTGCATACAAAGCCAAGACCACTAAAGCCTGGTTTGAGCGTCAAAACATCGTCTTAATTAGACATGAGGATTGGCCTTCCTCCAGTCCGGACCTTAATCCTTTGGACCAGAAATTATGACAGGGCTTAGAGGGGAAGGTCTGTGATAAACCTCATGAAAATTTGGAGAATCTGAAGTCATCTTTAAAAAAACCAGTGACTGAAATCGACACGAATATGGTGCGTGCTGCGATAGACGACTGGCCGCGACGCTTAAGGGCCTGTATTAAAAATGAGGGAGGTTATTTCGAATATTTTTATGCTTTTTTTATTCCTTAATTAATGTACTAAGAATTGATATATCACTCATTACAAACTGATCAGTACTTTTGTTTTTATCATTATTTCCATTTATGACAGAACTTTGGGACCGACTACGTAGTCAACATTTTTGTTGTATTTTCTACACACGTAGAATAAAATTTTTGAAAAGATTTTTACTTCTTATGCCAAAGAAGTATAACTTCTAACGCGTGTACATAAGTACAAACACGTTTTTTATTATAAATAATTTGAAAAAAAATAAAATTCCACCCCTGGGTTTGCTCTTAAGTAAAGTAGACAGCAGCTATGTACTGTTTTTTTTACTAAAAGAAAAATAATATGTATGAAAAGAATTAAACATTAAAACTTTTTGCAAAGAGTTCAGAGAAAATAGATGCCTATCTTAGATAGATATCTATTTTTCCTTATTTGACAGTATGAAAAAAAGTGTTATTCAGAGTTATCTATATAACAATTTTTACAGGTGTTAGAGAAAAATAACTTGTAAACAGTTTTTTATTTATGAAAATACCAGCTGACCCGGCAAACGTCGTTTTGCCATGTATATTATTTCTGGGAAACATTTTATTAGTTAATTAAAAATAACTATCTACTATAATAATTATAAAATTTAATTATTAAAAATAGGTGTTGATTGTAGTGAGGTGAAAATTATGGGTTGGTTGGTTAAAAAATTTGGGGTAGACACCCCTTATCACTTAGGGGTTTGAAATATATATAGTAGCCGATTCTCAGACATACTGAATATGCATTAAAAATTCCTAAGAATCGGTCGAGCCGTTTCGGCGGGGTATGGGAACGAACGAACAAACATTGTGACACGAGAATTTTATATATGTATATAGAAATTTAAAAATAGTTTTATTGTGTCGTGTGTACATTTGGCGGATTATTTATGATTAATTTGTTCACAAATAAATTATCTGAATGGTAATAAACACACAATAATAGTTAATTGTAAATACTAAATTCTGATTGTTTTGTAATTACTAATTATTTATTAATTATAGAACAATCACAATTAATTTAAAAAAAATTAATTGGATTATTATTATGTTATTAGTGATATGTACATTAAAGTACGTAGACACTGACAAAAATATCCAAGATTCGAACCCAGGACCTTTCGGTCGCTGAACGCATTTAATTCTAATCACACAAGAGTATAAACGTAAAATTCCATGTACAACGATACTGCGTTTCAAACTATGATTAGCGCCATCTAGTAATTCAAGGCAAAACTGTTTCAGAGAAACTGAACTGAAAAACAGATTCAATTAATTATAAATGTATATAAGTAAGGAAGATTTTAAATTAAATTTTTGTCAGAACACCCAATAAAGTGTAAAAGAGTTAAGAATATCTTCTTAACTTAAAACTATAATAAGCAAATTTTATTATTGCAAAACGCTAGCGCGCATTGGACATTCCTCTGTTGTGGGAATAATAAATAAATCAGTGGCGCTACAACTTCTTTAGGTCTTGACCTCAGATTTCTGAATCTGTATCATGATCATTTTTAAATCTAATAGGCAAGTAGGTGATCAGCCTCACACGCCGTCGACTTTTTTGGGTTTAAGACATGTCGGTTTCCTCACGATGTTTTCCTTCACCGTTCGAGCAAATGTTAAAATGCGCACATAGAAAGAAAGTCCATTGGTGCACAGCCGGGGATCGAACCTACGACCTCTGGTATGAGAGTCGCACGCTGAAGCCACAAGGCCAACACTGCTCTGTGTTGTGGGAATAGTTACATCGAAATTAAATGAAAAAAGGGTCAAAAAATGTGTGACGCATGCGCATGTTTGTCACTGATATTATTTTTCATAGACACGTAGGTGATGATTGTTTGTGACTTCGTAATTTTTGGTTCTAAAACATACCGGTTTCCTTACGATGTTTTTAAGGTCACAAACAACGTGTATCCGTTTTTTACGCTTATAATTACGCTTTTGGATGACTATTAAGAAACAAGCGTCTTAAGCGGCCAGTAATTG